GTTTGCCAAAGGCGGCCAACAAGAACATTAAGTAGAGTTTGCAAAGAGAGGGGGGCTTTAGTAATGGAAGATTGATGGTTGCAAAAGAAAACACAGGTCAGGTAGATTTTATTAAGGCATTCAAGATGTACAGCACCTTGAGGCATGTTGGCACGAGACTGCCTAAGCTCATTTACACAGTGACCAATTTGTCCTCTATAAGAATGGGCGTTTTTGTCTCTCCTGGCCAGCAAACACATTATTCACAAAGATCTTAATAGAGGCAGAAGCAATGTTTGTGTTAAATTAAAAAAAATAAAATAAAATTTAAATTAGGCTTTAACGGTGCATAAATACAAAGCGCTTAACGCCAGACTTTGAGTCATGAGTCTTATGGACATGCAGCACAACAGAAAATGTCTGCGGTTCAGACATTACCATATGTAACAGAGTACAAGCTCACAATGCAACAGCATGACTGCAATTGTGCAGAAGCAGTTCTTATAGTTAAACAGCTCGAGCCTTATCCAAAAATTGTGTTAGTGATGACACCCAGTGGCTGCAAGATGCACAACAAGCACAGATGACTTTTTTTTTAATAAATGTAAATGCTCAGTTGTGATCTGATAAGGCTTCTCTCGAGATGCCGTAGTTCATTACAGTTGAATAGTATCGCTGTGGAGATGCCCGCCTTGTGCACGTGTTACAGAATTGGCATTGGATCTGTAGTGCGTACATAAAAACCCAAGTTCAGGTTTACAAATATCTTGCAGGTTCTATTTTTTGTTCCTTTCCATAAATTGTGGTACAGAAATGTAAAGTAGGAGGCCCAATGCTTAGCAAGAATTGCTGCAAGTTTTCATGGCATAGATTCGTCAAGTTATCGGAAATACTCCTTGAAGACCAACATGAGGGTATCACAGTCTCGCAGCAGCTTAACCCTTGTATGGTGTTTGGGTCTGTGAGACCCGTTTTCATTTTTTTTCAAAAGAAAAATTAAACAATTATTTTTTCAACCTGAAATTCATTGGCTTTGGCTTATTTTCTGTGAAGAACTAATTTTCAATGACCTCATACTGTACCTCCCCCCACGCATTTACATTACATACAAGGTGTTCGGGTCCACTGGACCCAGGTCTAATAAAAGTGTTGAAAGTGTAGGTCCTGTGTTCCCACACTCTGTCTTCCTCCTTTCTGGTGCTGCCGATAGTGTTTTCTTCCCCTCCTGCTCCCACACAAAGTTGCAACATTGTTGAAAATTCAACTATCAACACCGTCTGCTCTTACATTCCCGCACATTTTACCCTCTTTCTTGAGGGATCCAAATTTTATTTTCTCATACCCTGTCCCACCTGCAAATTAGGGGCATAATACTATAAATAAGACTTTGCCAGTGTGGTTCTTTATCACAACTGATCAAGATGGCAAAATATTATCTGCTGCGAGGGCCATCCAATTGATTTTGGAAGAGAGGGGCTTCGGATGATGATGTTAACAAAGAGGTTTCAGAATATTTCACATTTCTGAAAATTCAGAGTCTGACAGTGACTTTGAAGAAGAGGATGAGCACCAGCACCATTTAGTAACAAAACGAAGACGAGTACCCCATCTGCAGCCAGCTCCAGGACCAGAACAAGCCCACCAGACAGCAAGTGAAGAAATATGGATGTCAATAACTGGTGAAATTGAATGGTCTTCTTGCCCAGGAAATGAGCCACCCTGCAGAGCTGTTACTGTGATAAGCCAGGGCCAACACGGCTGACAGTTACTCATGTGCAGGACATCAAGTCTTCATTTGACCAGATTCCATCCAGAAAATTATTCTGGATTGCAGTAATCTAGAAGGAAGGTGTGCTTTTGGAGAAAGGTGGAAGGAGATGGACCAAATTCATCTAAGAACCCCAAAGGCCTACTTTGGGGTTCTTATCCTTGCAGGAGTTTTCAGGTCCAAAGGGGAATCCACAGAATCCCTGTGGGATACAGAAACCGTCAAGAACCTTTCCGTGCATCAATGTCTCTGGAAAAATTCCACAAAATTTCCAGGATTATCCGTTTTGATAACAGAGACGACAGACCAGCTCGACGGCAGAGAGACAAGCTAGCTGCCATCAGGACAGTGTGGGATAAGTCCCCTGTTTTACAACCCTGGGCCTAATGTCACCATTGATGAGCAGCTGATCCCATTTAGTTGTGAAACACATTGCTTCACGTGTAAATGTGTTTCGTCTTTCCACTCACTCCACTTGATTATAACTGATTTATTTTTTTTAATAACATTTTATAAAAAAAACAAAAAAAACAACAGAAGCACATTAATTCATAAATGTGATCTAACAAAGGTAAAGGGAAAAAATTAACCACATTTGCTGTTCATATGGCTTGTAATTGGGATGAAGTAAACAGCTGTTGAGTAATTTAACATAAAATTGTTTGATAGTGTTAATTTGGAAAGCCAAAACTCTAGCGAGTCTGCCAGACCCATGAACACTGGCTGAGTAACAAAAACTGTTAAAATATGAACACCACACAAGGGTTAAAGTAGCTCAGCTGACAAGCAGTTAAAGTGTACCTAACAAAGTGGCATGTTGGCACGAGACTGCCTAAGCTCATTTACACAATGACAATTAAACATGTGCAGCATGTGGGCTAAAGAATGATTTTTAGAGCCTGAAAAGAGCAGACAGTGGTTTGGTGACCACCATATCACTTTCATTATATGTAATCACATTGCTTTTTATAGACTTCATCACTGCCTCATTTTTAGGCACCTAGTATGAACAAGTAACACCGAATCAGGTATGACTTACAAAACAGAGCAGCGTGTTGCAAACATAATCCAAACAATTGAAATTAGACAAGGACTTGTGGGAGTTACTACAAAACATTTCCTTTATTTAAGCATAACCCTCCTGAGCCTGATAGTAGATTCTGCCTCCTCTCCAGACACACAGGTAGTAGGCCGTGCTCAGCAATCCCACTACAGACACCAGCAGGATGGCTACTACCAGGGCAATTTTCCACACTGCTGATCCTTCGGCTTTTTTGAAGTCTAACAAAGCAGAAGTGTCACAAATCAAATCTTAAGTGTGCAGGATGACCAAAAGAGGTCATGATTAATGCTGTTACCGATCGTGTTATAGGTACGAAACCTCAACCCACCTTGTTCCCTCACAAGAAATTGTTCTGGGGTAGTTGATTTTATCTGGTCCTTGGCTTCCAGTGTTCTGGCAACTTCTGATGAACTTTCAGGCATGCCGTCCTGGACTGCTACAAACTGTCCATCAGCATCAACATACTGTGGATTCTCAGTGATAAGCCACTCTTCCTGGGTGTACTGAAGCATGGCTGCAAGTAGATACTCAAAAATATAAGCCAATTTATCAGATCCTAACCCAACAGTAGACGCATGCTGCTGTTTTCTTACCTGAATGACCACCAGACACGGCCAAAAGGGCCAAAAACACACACCAAAGCACAAACATGATCACAGAAGCTCACAACCAGCTTTCCCTTGGCTTTTTTAATGCAGCCACCTTATCTACAGAAGTGACATCAGCTGTGTTGTCCTGACTCAATCAAGGCAAATTACAGCAACTGAGCTCTCAAATCACCTGCTTCGGTGTCCTTTAGAGAGCCCCCATTTCAGTAGTTAAACTACACCTCTTTCATCAGAAAGTGACAGTCAGTCAAACAGAAATTGACCACACAAAGAGCAAGTTGTTATGCTGCCACTTGAAACAGCAGAGAAGAGTGTTCTTCCAGGAAGGCCTCGCTCAGACAGTGCATCGTAAAATCCAATATTTTGTCTGAAGTTCAGAGGTGGATACTCGGAGAACGTTAAAGCCATAAATATAAATAACTTGAGAAGCAGGTGTGATGAGATTAAAGCAATCACTGAAACAAACCATGAACAGACACAGATCATTTATTTCGTTACAGCTTTGGTACAGAATAACAGGACTGCTTAATATCAGATATCCACTCTAATGAATGGAGCTTTAACATTCATCACACTCCATATTGTGAACTACAGTAAACGAAAGTTTGAGGTTTGACCTTTTATTTTTTTGTCAGTTAAGGCTGAAACTGTGACTCATTATTCCCGCTTGTAACACACAGTCACACAAATAAAAAAAAAATTTAAAAAAACCCCCCCTCCTTTTTTTGCAGCATGCAAATCAGAAATGTTGAAACTGAATAAGAGCATTTTCACAAGGGTGGCACCGGTACACTTTGTAATCGAGGCAGGCATTTTGACATGTCACAGCAGGAAAAGCACTGGTGTAATCGATGACATCAATATGTCATTCAAGTGTCCCGATTCCCTTTAGCACAGCTGATCAGTACATTAACTGCAAGCAGACTTCAGAGCCTCTACGCTTCCTGCTATTACAAATGAAAATAAGACTAAAATCAGGCTGAAAAACACCACAAAGTAAACGTGCTTACAGTAAGACGATAACATTAAATACTGCACATCCTGGAGATTTGAGTATGTGTTTTAATGGAAAACCCCCCTCCCCCTCAAACAAAACAAAGCAGTGCTTAGGTGATCTTGTGACTGGCATCACTTCTTTGTGTCACCACGTGAAACATCACAGGCTTTTCCCTCACTGACAAAAATAAAACAGCGTGACACAAACTTGTTAAACAAAAGTTATTGCTGATGGCCTTTACCTCAGTGTTTCAGCTAAAAAAGTGACATCTAATCAAAGAATCGCGCTACATTTTCATCAAAATTTGTGCGCACTCACGAGACGGGAAAACGATGTCCATTTACTGGCAAGTTACTTTTTCCCTTGCATAGTTCAGCATGAGATTCAGCACACGTCTCTTGACGTCTCAAAGAACT